GATGTGATTCGTGATTCGCAGATATCGAGCGACTTCTATGGAAGAATCGCTGCTCATTATGCGACAACAGATGAGCTGGACGTGCGGCTGAGCTTTTATAGCTTTATATTTCTTCGAATAAACTCTGAGCTTATCTTGACTATGATCATTCAGCGAGCCGAACGCCTATATCTGGAGGCAAATCTGCAGAAAGAAGCCATAGCAATGTATATCAAAAACAACAGATGGGCAGACGCCTACAGGGTAAGACTTTGGCGTTCCTTTCCTTGAGCGTAGCCGTACAGCCGAACTCATTGTCACCTTACGCTGGGGGTAGCATGGGCTACTTCAAAACATTCGCTCCGCTGACGCTTAGAGGTGCTGCAATTCCATCTCGAGATCGTAGTGTGGGCAGTGTCGTGCTTGAAAGGGGTGGGGTGGCTAGATTCGACGGAAGCAGGGAACGGACGTTCCTCTCGTAACTTTCTATTGTCGCCCTGTGAAATGTGACTTGAGTGGACCGAGGCGAATTTAAACCAAACCTATCATTTCAAAACAACGTCGCCCATATACTAAGGTACTTTCAGTTATCAGAAGAATTTCTCGGGAAAGAAGAAACTACTGCTCTCTATGAGGCGAAAGCTGAGGAGCTTGAAGAGCAGGGTAGATATGCCGATGCTGAACAGGTACATTTTTGGAAAGAAAACGCTGGTTCTATTATTTTCTATGATGATATTCTGGATGATCCTCCATCTCTGAAATCTTTTTTCTAGTTATACGTCTCTATTGGAATGTCGAACAGAGCCGTTCTTATGTATAAGAACGCGGATCGGAATGACGATGTCATACGTCTTGTTGAAAAGTACCATGGAGAACATCTACAGGTTATTGATTGGTTTCACTTCTGAAAGGGGAAGTAAAAGAATGAAGAACATTCGGGTCTGTTATTCATTTTCAAGGAAACCCACAAAAGACTTGGAATGGAGCACGAAGAACGAGGAGATTTGCGTTCGGCTGAAGAAGAGTATTTGAAGGCCGACGATATCAAGGTTAGCTCTGAAACCCTTTGGTTGGCCCTCCAACCAAATCGATTATTCAGGCAG